GGGCATGCTATAATGGAAGAACCTCACTCTTAGAAAAATTTATACGAAGCCCTGAGCAGAGGCAGAAGTTGAAGAAAATGTCTTGAATATATGGCAGATCTGAGGACGGATTAGAGGTAAAAATGATTATATCGCCTGCGAATAGGGAAATTTGCAGATCTTGTTGACCAATTGTAATTCCATGGAGGTCAGACTGAAATATTAAAAAATGTGCCAAAGGTTCCAGGGCTAGATTGAAGAGTAAAGGGGAAAAATTACATCCTTGTCTTGTGCCCTTGTGAAGTTGTATGGGATTGGATATATGGCCTGCCGCTAAGACGTGAGCTATTGGTGCCGAGTACATAGCTTGGATCAGGTGCATGAACGGGCCCTCAAATCCGAATTTCCGTAGGGTTAAGAATAGCCAGTCGAAATTGACATTGTCGAAAGCCTTTTCAGCATCTAATGAAATGATCGCTGTCTCTCGGAGCGAGTCATGTTTGGCCTGATTCAAGACTGTTAATACCTTCCGTATATTCGAAGCAGCTGAGCGACCCTGTACGAAGCCCGCTTGTAAATGGTGAATAAGGGGGGGTAAGATCGTAGCTAGACGAGTTGCGATGATTTTTGATAAAAGTTTTGCTTCTAGATTTAAGAGGGATATTGGACGATACAATCCGGGATCCGTTTGAGTCTTTGTCTTTTTTTCAGTTTAATATGGGCTTGGAATCCAGAGGGGAGATAGTCTCTTCCCTCCTGAATTGTTTGGAATACTGTCTGTAAAGTAGGGGAAAGGGTTTCGGCTATGAGTTTGTAAAATTCCGCTGTATAGCCATCAGGCCCAAGGGCTTTACCATTCGTAAGAGATTTGAATAGCTAGTAAAATGTCTGATTGAGATACTGGGGCGTTCAAGGATTGAAGCGCGTGGGTCTAAATGCAGGAGAGAAATGTGTTCCAGAAAGGAGGTGGCCCGACCGACATCTATAGGGTCTGAGTCATATAGGTTCCGGAAGAAAAGTTTCTAAGATGGAGATAATTTCCTTAGGTGCGCTATTCAGAATGCCCTGGGAGTCCCTCAGAGATGCAAAGTGGGTGGGAATAAAAGGTTTTCTGAATAGATGTGCTAGCAGCTTGCTCGGTTTGTTGCCAAATTTGTGATAATGCATGCAGATCAAGATGAGATTGGTATTTAGATTCCTGGGCTGCTGCCCCGGCTGTCAATCATTGGTGTTTAGCGTCCGAACTCCTCTCACAGCCCCCTGATGCTTTCCTAAGTTTTTGTGCGAGTTAATATCCGGGGGGGATGAATTACTAGATCTTATTATATGTGAGGATCTAAGGTGATTGCGGGGGATTAATTACTATGGAGGATGAATTACTATGGAGGATGAATTACTATGGAGGATGAATTACTATAGGGGGGATGAATTACTATGGGGGATGAATTACTATAGGGGGGATGAATTACTATATGGGGGATGAATTACTATGGGGGATGAATTACTATATGGGGGATGAAGCTAACTGCACGATCCTGTATATAGCATTAAGGTAAGAAACAATCAGTGTGTTTTAAATGTTGCAATGGTTTTTTGCGGCTCCCAGTTTTTTTTTCGGAGGTGGTTTTTGTTATAAGTGGAGGAGGTATAAGTGGAGGTATAAGCAATGATTCTGCCGTGAAGCACCACCTTGCCCGTTTTCCAGAACGGATTTGGATTAGATAGGTGAGCTGCGTTTGTTTCTCAGAACTCAGACCATGTGTCATTCAAAACCCGAAGTAAATCTTGGTTATTTGCCAGGAAAGATGGGAAGCGCCATGTCCTTGTGTGTGTTGACCAGGTTGTAGGTGATTTAGGGATATAGAAATCAGAGAATGATCTGATATGGCGATGTCATGGATAGCGGAGTTCGTAATGTTGTGTAGCAAGGTGGAGTTAGAGAAGAGGTAGTCAATTCTGGATAGGGTGTGGTGAACAGGGGAGAAAAAGGTAAAGTCCCTTCCTTCTGGATGGGCCAAACGCCAGACATCAGTGAGCTGCAGAGCCTCTGCAAAGTTGCTTAGGACCGTGTATGCCGGAGGCAGGGTGGTGGAAAGTAGGTGGGTATGGTTAAACGATTTTGATTTGTCTTCCTGCATATTCATACATGAGTTAAAATCTCCTCCTAAAAAGTGGGAGATGCTTGTAATTCAAAATTTTGAGAACAGTTCTTGGAAGAATTGTTTGGGCGGGGAGTTTGGGGCATATATATTAACAAGAGCCAAGGAGGAGGAGCCTAATTTGATGTGCGCAGCGACATAACGCCCCCCATCGTCTGTGTCTATCGAGATGTCAGGAGTAAGCCGTTTATGTATGAGAATAAGTACTCCCGCTTTATGGTTGAGTGAGGGGGAGCCCATCACCTGTCCCACCCATAGTTTTTTCATGCGCGCGAAATCGGAGAGTCCAGTGTGTTTCTTGAAGAAACGCTATGTCTGCCTTTAGTCGTTTAAGATGCCGGAGGATGGCCATACATTTATGAGGTGATCTCAGGCCCTTAACATTCCATGAAATTATGCGTGTCATGGTGACGTAAGTGTAGGGATGAGTGGAGAGGAATATGGGACGTCCCTATGCAGTATTAGCTTGGCGAGCTCAGCGCTATCACCCAGGCTCTTTTGCTATGGTGGCTGGAGTGCTGGGGGTTCTCCGGGTAAGAGGAAAAGAGTGGGCAGAAAACGGGGGCCCATGGAGTAAACAAAAACAAACCTTAATGGCATTCTGAACTTCACTTTTTTTCCACATGTTACCTCTAGACTTTGACCAACGTAACCGGAGCTGATAGGAGATGAAGCCTGCACCAAGGGGTTGCAGTGCAGTGGTCAAGGAGTAGAGGGATCCCCGATTGCAACATTAACCACAGGTGAGGGAGGGGTCATCAAGCCCTAATACCGGCAGCTGCACGGTGGTCAAAACATAGTTGAGACATGGCATAGAGAAACAATCTTAACTGAGAGCCAAAGGCCCTAAATATCCTGAAACCTCATGATCATAACAATGTAATAGCATAATAATACAATAATGTAGGGCACCAAAACGATATAGAAAAATTCTCGAGTAGGGTGAAAGCCACTTCTACTGTGGGTAACTCACAAAAAGAAAGAAAACCGTCTGAGGACTGAAGACCTGAAAAAGTGACAGGTCAAACGGTGATGAGAAATTGGTTAAAGCTAGTGGATACTTGCCTAATCAGGGCGGTCGTAGTTTAGCCAAAAAGAAGTTGACTTGTTGCCTCTTAGGTGGGTCTTTGCGCAGACTGCGTTGGTCTTTCGGGCCTGGGTCTCGGGGTGCATGTTGAGAATTCAGAGGGCCCACAATATCAGGTTGGCTTGCAGGTATAGAATGGCTTCCTCCAGGTGAGTGAATGATTTAGAGTACCCTGTAGGCGTCGTGAAACGCAGTGTAGCAGGACATGCGAGGGTAAATTTGACCCCTTTTTGGTATAGTGTGGCTCATATTTGCTGGAACGCTTTTTGTTTACGGGAGACTTCTTGAGAGTAGTCAGCAAACTGTAATAATTTATGGCCCTCTAGTTGTAGGGAGTGAGAATTGCGAAATGAGTTTAGGATGGCCACGCGGTAAGCGCAGTTAAGATATTTGACGATTACAGATCGCAGCGGGTGTCTGTTGTTTGAGGGCGCCCTAAGGCGGTGCGCACGTTCGACATGACAAGGTGTCGAGATGTCAAGTGTTGCGGCAATGCGCGTAGAGCATATTTCGGGCAGAGAGCCTGAATTGTAGGATTCTGGGAGGCCTACAACGTGCAGATTATTCCTGCGCGAACGGTTCTCTAAGTCGTTGAGTTTTTCCAAAATACTTTGCTGCGTGCATTTGGAATGTAAAGCGCCTGCTTGCATAGCCTGAAACTCGTCTTCTAAGTCAGAAAGGCGCTGTTCCACTTCAGTTATACGTTTGGCATTGTCTCCCACGTCCCTTCTAAGTTGCTCTATTCCCAGTGTTACTGCTCTGTCCACAGCCTGAGTAATAGTAGGTAACAGTAGGGAAGCGACAGTCTGTGCAATCTTGTCATAATGGTCCGTGGGACTAAGAGTGTCAGCATGTATGACTGTAGTCAGTGTCTGTGTTTCTGCCATACCTGGTCCTGTGCCTGTGTCCATGCTGTTGCTCTGCTGATTTTCAGCCATCTTGGCTGCGGGGGAGCTGTTCCCCTGAGGCGGGACCAGAGCCGGGTGGGGCCGGAAGAAGATACCGATCCATACAGGTCAGATCGGGGAGGCACCTCTGTGCCTTTATAATACAAGCCCCAGGTGCAGAGGACTGTATTTTTATGCAGGTGAGCCCGGAGCCGCGGGTCTACTCCTAGCTCATGCGGCGCCAGAACTGGAAGCGAGTGTTTTTATTTAAAGAAAACGTATAGTGAGGAAATATTGGGCTTCTGTGGCTGACTTCTCCTACTGTAAATACTAGTTATCTTGCTGTCATACAGACCTATTTTTTACATAAAAAGTTAATTGACCTTGTCAGGAAAAACTAAAAGGTAAAGTAGCATCCTATACCCTTCCCAACTCCCTGGTTCTTTCTGAACTTGCCTCCCTGGATGATACAGTTTCAGTGTCCTAGTAGATGGGTGCAGCGGTCTAAGGTTTGAAAAACCCGCTTTTCTCCGCCTAGGGACATATCAGAGTGATTTTGATTGGTCAGTGCCTTCATGTGCTTGGGATGGGAGGGAGGATGTAGGGTGTTCACCTTTTTCTGAAAAGGCAAACTTAAACTTGAAGTACCTTGTAAGTCACTGACCCAGAACAAGCCTACAGATTTTAACTTCATTTTGACTTATCTCGCTGCAACAGTGGCAATCAGCATAGGGTTTCTTTAAGTTGCAATCCTCACAATTAATGCTTAATGTAAGATGTTTAATGCCTTTTATTGTAATTGCATAGTTGTATTAATAATAAAAAGAACAATGTGCGTTTGTAACTGAAATGCTGGCATATCTAAAACCTACATTTTTTTTTTTTTCCTTAGCAATGGCAACTTCGCCGCCTATACGTGGGACAGGTGATGGCATGGAAACTCAGCCTTTAAAATCAGTGGAAGCAATCACAAAACACAGCAAAGTAGTTCACAGCCCAAAGAGAAAAACTTCCCCATCACAGTCATTAAGTCCAGGTGTCTTACAGTTAGGGAAAATTCACTCTGACAAAGCAGTGGAAATAGAAGCAGTCAGGATTGTGGTCCCCAAGGCTGCAATAACACACACATTGGTGACTAAACAGGCTAAACCACAGGAAACAAATGGACACTGTAAAGTAGACACTGTTGACTGTGTGACTGACCCATGGAAACAGCTAGCTGAAATGAAGAGTGCTTTGGAAAAACTGAAAAACTCAGAGAAACGGTTGCTTCAAGATAAAGAAGGTCTTTCTAACCAGCTAAAAGTGCAGACAGAGGTATAAACGAAAAAAAAGAATGGCATGCTTTTTATTACAGAATAAAAATAACTAGTCACATCTGTTTGCTAACAATTATATAGCAGAGTTATCTGTGCCACCATTTTTATATTTATATGTGTATACGTATGTCCTCAGATGCAAAATTCTGAATTTTGTATTACAGATCTGAACGCAGTGCATCTTTTCGCACTGTGGGAATGGTTCCATTAAAATCATTGCGGCTGCATTCAAATACATTAATAAAATTTTATGGTAGTGTGAATTTAAAAAAAGTATCACAGACCGTACTCAATTGTTTCGGATACATAAATAAAAAACACCTGTAAATGTGTTTTTTATGGCCTTGTGAATGAAGCCTTAGAACTGAATTCTTAATGCTGATAAAACAGTTAAGTATCTGAAAGCAGGGACAAGCAAGTGACCTGTTCTTTCAAAGTGTTTCTGTGCTGAAACACTTGACTTCAGAAGAATTCTGCGCAGGAAACAATGTCTGTTGCTGGAAAAAAGATGTGTCAACACAACATCCTGCATTTGTCTGCTACGTATAGTTAGATATATGTTACCAGGACTACAAATGTGTTTACAGATGTTTGAGTTCTTGGCTTCAGATGTCTTTACCTCTTGCTTTTTTTGGCATTATTCCTAAGGATGTCAATAATACTTTGGGATTAAAGTTGGTCAGTATATGTATTGGCTATTAATGCCAGGGAAGAGTACAAGGAAGAACTGGTGAAATACATATGAGGATAACAATTAAAGATCACACTGAACCAGCTGAGCTCTATGATTGCTTCTTTAGCCATCTCCATAGTTTTGTGGTGTTCTGGACAGTAGTAACACTGCCATTGGGCTCAGAGGGGTTTTTGTTGTTCAATTTGCACTGCAGACAAAATGTAAAAAAAAAACTATCCAGGCCTGTAAAAACTATGGGTTTTTTTTCTGGTCACATGACTCCAAAGCTGTGTTAATATGCGGCTGGTGAGAGTGATCTTTCTCCCATGCTGACAATTCCTAGAGCTATGGGGTCCAGTGGGTGAAGTCACTCCTCTCTAGGTGATTTTAGCCCCGTGGTTGGCTATCCACATAACACAGTGGAGCCGGTGCTTTGCAGTCACATGACTCCATAGAAAAATGTTGAAAAAGAAATGTATTTAAGTACTAATTTATTCTAAAATGTATGCAGACAATGGGGAAGCAACATTTTATAGCAAGTTTATTCTTTAAACTTTTCCTTTTACTTTAACCTGTTTGTTCTGAAACTTAGGAATTTCTAAGCACACTCACCTAGCCCTCCTTGCTGTAAGCCTAATTTAAAGGAAAATGTCCCTTGTAAGAATTTTCTCTCTGCCGCCAATGGGATTTAAACCAGCCTTGAAAGTGAATGTGATTGGTGCCACAGAGAGCAGAGGGAGGGGAAGTTACTCAGCACAAAAAAATTAGGAAGTACATTTATTGTTAACTATTAAGTGCTTTTTGGGATTCTGCCTGTAGTGTATTTTGTCATGCAATGTTGGTTTGAGCCTTTAACCCAGAACCAGAAGGGTTTCTGACATCGTCCTGACTTTCCTGTTTAGGCTTGTTCTAGCTCTGCACCCTAGAAAGTATTGAAAGCTGTAGGTCACCTTAACAGTTCAGTAACCAGCATTATAATTTACAAAGGATTTTTATTGGAGTCAAACATGAAGGGTATACAATATTATGTATATAATGTATATGATCTATAGTATCACCTTGCAAGACTGGTACAACAGCATATAAGATGTATAACAGCAATGTGTCTAGATAAGTAGTACATAGTAACAACTACAAATCATAAACATGCCATACAAAGGAAAAAGAGTAAGAGGAAAACGGGATGTAAAAAAAGTACTTGATATGATAAAAGGCATGTAAGGATATATATTTGCATAGACTTGAGTGTTATAGGTCACTAGAAATTAGATAAACCTGTAAATGTAGGTTGGGAACCAGAGTAGAAAAGGTCAGTATTAATGTCATGGGGTGATGGTGCACCCTTGTCTTGTGCCCCGTCCATGGGAATATAATTCAGAGTTGCAACCTGGAAATTTAGTCCTTTGTTTTAGGAGCATTATATACAGTAATTCTTGAAGACCATTTAGGAATTCATTAAGAAACCATAGCTGGACAGTAAGCAATTGAGATAGGGCCATTTAACACTATGATGTGTCAATGTTTAAAAGTGGTAATGTATAGGGGTCAAATTGGCATCTTGGATGATATTAGTAACCAATCTGTCTAGAGCGAATAAATCCTGTTTGGTCATGAGAGATCAGTGTGGTAATAAGAGGGAGGGTAGGGTATCCATTAGGCTTACTGATTGTGAACATATTGCCTCATGGGAAATGATTGCCTCGTAGAACATAATTATACAATCTTAGCTAATTTGAGTAGCAATATTAGGGCACTTTTTTTTTTAGTAAGAGGTCAACTATCCGTCAGAACCAGGTGTTGTAGAGGTTTTCAAGGCGTTAAATATGCCTGCAACCACCATTTTCAATAGCAAACGCCATATTTCATTTAGAAAATGCTTTAGGGTACTAATATCTGTTTTGTTGGACATTGCCATCATTAACTGCTGCACAGTTGCAACTTCCTTTCTTGTTAACAGGCTTTTTTCTGTTATTTAAGGTTAATCGGGAATTAAAAAAGTTGCTGGTGGCATCTGTTGGTGATGACTTACAGTATCACTTTGAGCGCACAGCTCGAGAGAAGAACCAACTTATTCTGGAAAATGAGGCTCTAGCACGAAATACAGCTCAACTGTCAGAACAGTTGGAGCGCATGTCCATTCAGTGTGATGTCTGGAGAAGTAAATTCCTTGCTAGCCGGTACGTTTTCATTTCATTTAAGTGTCATAAAACAGAAATTTGATGCACATTTCTATTTTTACATTTATTGAGGTTTCCACCTTCACCTGTCATGGAAGAATATTTCTTTCCAGCTGATGCTGGCAGATAGACGTCATCCTGGTCAAACCAAGCCCCAGCCTAAGAAATCCATTGCTTTAAGTGTGGTTCTGTGGCCACAATACGGTAGCTTTACATAATGCAGCAGCTTTAGGGTTGCTGTTTCCATATTAAAGTGAAGAACTGATGTTTCTACTTGGATTAACTTTAGTTTTCAGAGGCTTGATGTATCTAAATGGTCTTTCATGAGGAGTTCATTGTCATAAGTTAAAGCAGTATAAAACTAGTTATAAAGAAGGCTGTGTAGCAGCCCCCACCCAATACTTACCTGAGCCCCATTACAATCCAGTGATGTGCACAAGAGCCTCGGCTCCTCGGACTCTCCCTCCTCTTTGGCTGAGACAGCAGTGGGAGCCATTGTCTCTCGCAGCTGTCAGTCACAGCCAGTGAGCCAATCGGGGGGGGGGCGAGCTGCTGCTCTGTGTGTGTGTGTGGACACATGCAGAGCAGTAGATCGGGAGTCGGCCTGTTCTGGTGCCCCCATTGCAAGCTGCTTGCTCTGGGGGCAGGAGGGAGAGATTAGGAGCCCCGGCGGGGGTAGGTTTGGGGCTGTTCTGTGCAAAACCACTGCACAGAGGAGGTAACGACTTTTTTTTAATAAAATTGCCTTTAATATCACTTTAAACCCAAAACCAAAAGTGTGATTTTACCAATCAGATGTGGTGGCTGCATTTTTATTTATTTTTTTTTATAGACTTTTTCTTTTTCCCCCTACTTTTTTTTCTTGTGATTTGGCCAGTAGCACGCCTGAATCAGAGTGCCCCCACTCTGGATGAAGGAGCACAGGGGCACCTTTGGACAGCAGCATTGACAGTCTGGTGGTAGGGGAGTGTTTTAGATGTACTAGCAGATTTAGATACATCGACGAGTTAAAGCTGAACTCCAGCTTACACTTCATAAGCAGTTACAGTAAGTTTTTTCCTTTTTAAGATAAAGGTTTTATGTAATTTACAGCTTACTGGCAAGATCACCAGATGAAAATAAGGGGGGGAAGCCTAAAAATATAGCCACCACATCTAAGAATTGGTAAGCTGCAATATCATAAAGTGTTCTTGCTAAAAGCAGAAAATATGCTGCTTGCAGGTTTAATCCATAATGTAGTAGTATGCACTGCATATTAGTAAGTTGCAACAGACTTGCCTACAAACAGAGCCTCCCAGAACTGCACTGACATGGCTCTCCCTGCCCCCCCCCCCCTTCCATCTGTTCCCAGTCCCCAGTCTTCCTTCCTGGGTTCGTATCCATGGCCACTTGAATGGCTGGGCCCTGGTGACATCACTCCTGCGCATGCGCATGGGAGTCACATCGCAGAGGCACACAGAGCAGGCCGTAAATGTGGTCTGAGCTGCGCATGTGCAGATTTTGTCAATCTTGACTTTACTACCACTACCGCTTTCCGGTCAGAAACACCTTTTTTAATCTGTATGTGAAGGTTCTCATTTATCCAGATCATGATTTAGCTAGTAGTAGTTAGTCACATTCAAATGAACTATAAACTGTATATTTAAGACGTTTCACTGCTTATTTTAAGCAGGTTGTTCCTTTGTGATTATAAAAAAACATACCCAACATTTATGGATACATAGGTAGCACACATGGAATGTGTGAAGCAAGATGATGATTGTCGAAGAACATGATAGGAGGTGGTAAAATATAACTAAATGCAAAACTTTTTTTTTTTTTTTTTTTTTTAGTTTTGGGTAGAGTGGAGAGAAATCAGAACATCTGTCAGATTTTATTGCTGTCTGTGCCCCCATTTGGGAGATTCACCCTCTCTATTTGTCCTGTTTACCATTATCATTGAAAGTAAAAGAAAATCCCGGTGATCTGAGGGTCCCCAAGAAATTCCCTTTAATTTGCAGGGATTTGGTCTCACTTCCTGTTTGGTTATAGAAATTTCTGCAGAGGGACACAGATGGCGAAATATAAATCTGGCAGGTTATAACCCTTCTTTGTTCTATCCAAAATGAAAAAAAAAAGTGTTCTGCTCATAGTTCTGCTTTTAAGTTTGTGAAAACACTCTGTTCTAACTACATAATCTTATCCTATGGTGCCATAATGACTGGAACTAAGATACATGGCTGAAGGTGTACATTTTTGTAAGAGATGTTCAAGCGGTAATATATGTGGGTGACGGGTGTATCAAAAGCCAACCCTTGATTTAGGGTTGGTTGTTTCAGATTCATGTAGACGTGAAAGAGGCCAAAGAGGGTCATGGGTCAAAATAAAAATGGTTTAGAGGTAACAAGACAAAATCTGGTTATCCATCTGACAGGGGATAACCGTTGTGGTGTCTCCATCTCTGTTTCTGCTTTTCTGGCATCCTTCATCAGTACATGGGAGTTTCACTGGAAGAGGTGTTTGATTTCCCGGTGCCTTTGTTGTAGTATTGAAAAGGAATTCAATTGTGGTTTAAAAATCCATTTAGTGACAAAGTTCTATAAAATCAATAGGTTTTCCAGTTCTCCGTTCTCAGGAATATATCATTTTTACATAAAGTTTATTTTGCAAATTTTCATCAGAGCACAGTTGAAAATAATTTACTTTACCCAATTGTTTATCTAACTGTAGTCCAGATATTGATAATGTATGTCTCACATGTTGTGCATCTGCTTCCAGTCTCTGGCATGTCATATATTTTTTTTTTTTTGTCTGAAGCGTGAGATTTAATAAATTGGCATTATGTTTTGTATTTTTAAAACCTTTACATGTAAGGGTATATTCTCATATTTTTCCTTTTGGAAACTGCTAATTAACCACTGCCCGCTGCACATAAACGCCCAGGTGGGAGGAGCTTCACTGCTCTGACATCTCAGCGTATCCGTGCCCCACCAATAAATAAATTTAAAGCACCCCTGCACTCGCGTGCAAAAGCGAATGCACATTTTCCACACGCATACATAATAGGCGATTGCACCACACATGTGAGGTATTTCCACGAATGTCAGAGCAAGAGCAATAATTCTAGCACCACACCTGTTCTTTAACTCTAAACTAGTAACCTATAAAGGCTTATAAAGAGTTACCGAATACCGAAGTTTGGTGCCATTTCACAATCATGCACAATTTTAAAGTGCGACATGTTTGGTATCTATTTACTTGCTGCAACACTATATTTTACAAACAAAATGGGTATTATATTGTGTTTGTGTTTATTAAAATTCATTAAAGTGTATTTTTGCATTAGTGTGTAAAATTGCATTTGAAAAATCGCTGCGCAAATATCGTGTAACATAAACATTTGCAAAACCCACCATTTTATCTCTAGGGCCTCTGCAAAAAAAATATATATAATAGTTCGAGGTTCTAAGTAATTTTATAGATAAAATACTGATTTTAACTTCGAAACAAAAAGTGTCAGAAGGGCTGGTCTTAAAGTGGATAATGCCTGAAGGTGCTGCTTGGATGTGGGGCCTCTCTATGTGGCCAGGCTGCGAAAAAGTCTCACACATGTGGTATAGCCATACTCCGAAGGAGTAGCAGAATGTGTTTGGGGTGTAATTGCAAGTATGCCTGTGCCGCGTGAGTTATAACTTAGTATGACACTTTTTTTGTGTAAAGAAAAAAAAAACACTATTTAATTCCTACATTTTTCCAAAGAATTGTGAGAATAAAAATTACGTCAAACTTGCCATGTCCCTTACTAAATACCTTGAACTGTCTAGATTCCAAAAAAGATCATTTGGGGGCTATTTGTACTGTACTGGCATATTAGGGTGTCATCAATTTTCAATAATGGGTACCATAGTTTGTAGACTCAATAACTTTTCACACAGACCAAATAATATGCACTGATTTGGGGTATTTTTACCAAAGAACTGTAGCAGTATAAATGTTGGTCAAATTTTAAAAAGAAAAATTGCCTTTTTGCAAAATTTTTATAACTAAAACTAAAAAACTTTTTTTTCAAAATTTTCAGTCCTTTTTTTTTTTTTTTAAACAACCCAGCAGTTATTAAATACCCTCAAAAGAAATCTCTATTTTGTCTAAAAAAAAAAAAAAATAAAAAAAAAGAATTTCATATGGATACAGTGTTGCATGACTGAGTGACTATCATTCAAAGTGTGACAGCACTGAAAGCTGAAAATTGGCAGGAAGGGGGTGAAAGTGCCCAGTGTTGAGGTGGTTAAAGGTGAACTTTAGCCTTAGCTTGTATATTCTCCTCTCCTGTACTGAAATTGACTAACATCCACACATCAAAGCATTTTGATATTTACATATATCTTACCAAGAGCCAGTCCACTGCTTACATCTAGGCTGGGGGCTCTTTGAGAGGAGTACTGAGGGTGCTGTGATATTTTCAGGAAGGCATGTACAGTACCCTGCTGGCCCCTCCCACCAACCAAGATCTGACTGCATTGCATAGAAAAGCACAGAAACCTAGGGATGAAATAGGCTTTATTGAAAAATTGCTTCAGGGTGTGGGCAGGGGAGAATCCAGCAAGAAGAAATTAAAGGCAGATTAAACTTCAGTTTTAGGTTGTCTACACCTGTGTTTCTCAACACTTTTTTTTCAGACAAGGCACCCTTTAAAATTCTGCACAATCTCGAGGCACCCCGTTCTAAAATTTAAAGAACTAAATACATTTTTTACATAATGCAGCAACCTCCACACATGTAGGACACCCAACATTAGAGGTTATTTATTCTTACAAAGCTAATACACCTTTTCACACTGGTACTGACTAGTATTCCAGCATTCCTCTTCTCCCTCACTCCGCTAAAGTGACCTCAGTACTGATGGAGAGGGGAAAACCAAGGATGCAGGTGCTTGATGTCCTCATCAACCAATTACATTACATTGGTTGTAAGGATGCCAGCGGCTAACCCTCACAGTGCCCAAGATTGTAATGCTGCACAATAAAAACCAGTTTTTTTCTGTAAGAAAAACAGGCTTGATCCACATGCTGGCGTGTTGACAATTTGTGGGCAATTTAGGGTAATTTTTAGGCATTTTGCAAAGACACCCCTGAAGAACCCAGAAGGCACCCTGGTTGAAAAAGATCAGTCTACACATAAATATTGAAATTGTGGATTCGTTTTTGATCTAATATAACTTTACAAAAGCTTTCTAGATAATGAAAGTGAACCTCCAGCAAAATTACATTTGATTTTGGATCGACTTTCCCATTAATGTAAGAATATTTTAACCACTTGTCGACCACCCTATACCAGTTTTACTGTTACAGGGGTCGGCCGCTCTGTGCAGCATCACGTGTGTATATATACGTGATTCTGCATTGCCGCGTAGGGGGTGTGCGAGCCCACCTACTGCATTGTCATTGCCTCCTGTACATGTAAGTCACCAGGTCCCAGACATGAATTGTGGAATAACTGACAGGAGAGAGATCTGTGAACGTAAACAACACAGATCTCTTTCCTGTCAGCGGAGATGTGCTGGTTTTTATCTCCAGAACATCCCCTAGTAAAACACCACACAGTACATAGTAAAATCACTCCCCAACACACAGTTAACCCTTTGATTGCCCCAGATATTAACCCCTTCCTGCCCAGTGTCATTAGTACAGTGACAGTGCTTTTTATTAGCACTGATCACTGTATTCGTGTCACTGCCTATGTAAGTGGCAGTTAGTGTCAGAATGCTGGCATTTCTATCACAGTCAGGCTATAAGTCGCTGATCGCCGCCACTACTAGCATAAATAAAAATTCCAGCATACAGACCATTGTTTTGTAAACACTATAATTTTCACACAAACCAATTAATATACACTTATTAGGATTTTTCTTTACCAAAGACATGTAGCAAAATACATTATGGCCTAAATTGATGAAGGAAATGTATTTTTTTTATTGGATATGTTTTAAAGCCAAATTTTATTTTGTAAACTTTTTTTTTTTTTTTTAATACCGCAAAAAATAAAACCCAATGGTGATCAAATACCAACAAAGCTCTATTTGTGTGAAAAAAAAAATATATAAATTTAATTTGTATACAGTGTTGCTTGTCCACAGTTGTCAGTTAAAGTAGCGCAGCGCCGTTTAGCAGAAAGTGGCCTGGTCGTAATGGGGTTAAATCTTCCGGAGGGCAAGTGGTTAAATCCCTTTCTTAAAAATATGGCTTTTGCGGTGTATGTTAATGTGAATAGATAAGAATTGTACTGTATATGCACAAAAAGGGGATTCATTTTGTATTTTTGTTTGAATTGATAATTGTCTGTTTTTCCTATGATCCTTTACTTGTATTCATTGCTCTGTTTTGTTTTTCTGTTTTAGAGTCATGGCAGATGAATTAACAAACATCAGGGCAAATCTGCAACGGCAGAACAGAGAGGCTCAGAGTGCCTTGCAGGACTTGTTAAGTGAGAGAGAGCAATTTCGGCAAGAAATGTCCGAAACAAAAAAGTATGTTGTTTTGTTTTTTTTTTTAATTTCCATTTCAGGTTGTGTGGATTTATCTGTGCACTGTATATATTCCAGTACCATGATCTTTTAGGGCTTGTTAACAGGTGAGGTTGAGGGGGGGAAAGAGTGTATCAGTGTGGTAAAACCAGGAGGTTTAGCCAAGGTTTTACCATCGCCCGCTTGAACACTAACATACAGCCACTCACGACTGTGCGCATGTCAAAACTTGAACAGCATGTCACTTTCGGTAGATGGTGATGCCACTGAACACGATTAATGCAGTTCTATGGGGCCGCACTGAAACTGCACCAAAACTGCCGTATACTATATGCCTCAAACAGCAGAGGGGCCAGCGGACATCCGATCCCTTTCCATTCCGGCATCTGCTTCTCTAAGATGAATAGCTGGAATCTAATTAATGCTGCTTGGTCTGAATCTGATTAATCTAAGGCTGTGCAGTATCTTACCCTATCCTTACAATAAACCTAATTCCCAAAAGCATATGGTGTCTTCATTACCTTGTGATTTCACTTTTTTATGAGTAAAAATAGCTTTACTAGTTCCTGTTTTTAATTTAATTAGAAAAACAAAAAAACAATTAACATAACATGGTTTTAGTTTTCACGTTAAAACTCAAATCTTAAAGGGATTATCGTATGGGTATTCTAGTATTTAAAGTGTTACTAAACCCACAACAGTAAAATTAGTCTGCATATGCAGGAAAGCATGCTTGTTATACTCCCTGTGGAACCTAAGGGGTTAATCCTCTGCATTCTGTAAAAAGGCTGTTTGATCCTTTGTTCTCTGATCCTCCCCTTCTTCCAGTTTCCCCTTCTTATCTCCTAATAAAACACATTGTGTGGTGGAGACCCTCTGCACATGCTCAGTTTGGTGTGTATTGCTAGAGGGTTTTTTTTTTCTTGGGAGAGCGCATGTGATCAGCACAGAGTCAATTAGCACTGTCCAGACAGAGGTAGGGGTTCTGCATCCTCCTAGAACTGAAAGAAAACTCCTCCTACAAGCTTTAACGTGCTCAGCTGGACACTTATAGAAGTCACAAGACTGCTATGCACTGCTGATGAGAAAAGATATTTAGCAGTTTTTTTATTTACTAAAATAATTGCATTTCATTGTTTTGTGTACTGTGGGAGACCAGATGTAGTAGGTGCAGGGTCCTGGGTTTAGTGACACTTTAAAATACTCCTCCTATGTTCTAGTTAGAAATTAAAGTGGTGGTAAAGGCTAACTTTGACCCATTCAGGGGGGAGGTAAAAACATTGATTTACTTATAAAGCAAGATAATTCATTGATTTGTTAATTCATTCATGTGTTGCATCCAGAAACTTTCACCGCGTTTTTCTTTTCAGGGTGTTAGAAGAACTTCTGGTCTCCCTGCAGTGGGGAAGACAACAGACCTATTATCCCATTGCTCAGCCCTACACCACCACAGAACTGGTTGCAGCAAACCAGAAGTTGGCAGTGGCGGTGAAGTCTCACCTTATTGGGGATACTGGATCGGACTGCGCCAAACACTCCTCACAAGCAGTGGAGTTTTGCAGCACTCCTGCAGAAAAAATGGCAGAATGGTAAATAGCGAGTAGCCATCCTTTTTTTTTTTTTTTTTTTAAATTTGGTTTAAATGACACTAAACTGTTTTTTTTTTTTTTTTTTTTTTATTCAAGCATGTATTCCTAACTCTTCTATTGCCTCCTCCAAATCACATTAAGGGAAACATTTACACAAAACACATTACAGGACCAATAAGTAGCGAACATTTTTCATTATTTTTGAAGAATCTGGATATTATTTAGTGTCACTTTATGTAAATTTTGCATCTTGCATTTATTTCAGACTAATAGATGGTCATTTCTTTTGAGTTACTAATTTTCTTGTGTTTTAAATTTATATTCAGGTTACTTGTTACATGTGGTCCTTGTACTATTCACCCCACTTTAACTTTTCTACATTTTTGTGTTTACAACTTGGAATTAAACTGATCTGAGATTTTTACCATTTGATTTACACAACATTACTTACACTTTGAAGATAAACAAAAACACCAAGTGTGTTGGTTGTGTAAGTACTGACCCCCACAATGTAAAACCTGCTAGGGCCTCCTCTGGCTGCAGTTAATGCTGTACATGTTTTGGGGTGAGTCTTTACCAGCTTTTCTGGATCTTGCAAGTTTTGTCCATTCTTCTTTGCTAAATTGCTGTGTTGGGGAAGATGGAGACTGTGGGCAGCAATTTCTCACAGCGAAGTCTCACTACTGATTCTGAAATAGATTGAGGTTCAGGCTTAACTCTGTCTAGTTTGCTTGCCTCTTGCAGGCTGAAAGAACTTACATTCAAATTAACTCATATTTGGCTTCATATGTGTCCTGACCAGCTTTTCCACCTTAAAGAATACATGCATTTTCAAACTAAAGTGCACTCATTCTTTTTGCCCTGACCTAGATGATCCCACCCTCCTGCTCCACAGATTTCTACTTGCCTAGAACTGGTGGCTGTGGCCCCCATTGTTTGTTTATATGCAATTATAAAAGACGTACTACCTTGGCCACACCCGTGCAATACAGTCTCATAAACTTCCATTGGGCCATCCTTCCGCCAGGAGACAGTGGTAGACAACCCCTATCGAAGTCTATGGGGCTGTACTGTGTGGGCAGGAGAAGGAGTCTTTCACTGTTGGTTGTAAACAGACAACTGTGGATGTAGAAATTAAAAAACTACTCGACTAAATCAGGGTCCCAATCTACTTGTCCTGGAAAAAAAAATATTAATTTTAGCTCAAACTTTATTTAACTCTGAGGGGCTTTTAGGAATATCAGGTGTTTTTTAAAAACGAAAGGGGCTTGATGGCGACTTAAAATTTTCATGTTAATATTGCGCTGTTTTTATCTCCTACTATCCTCCTTGCCTGTCTCCTGCACCACACCCAGGAACTAGCAGGGAGGGGAGAGACTTTGCAGTGTAATGAGCACCGATTGGGTGCTCGTCAGGAAAGGGGAATGTCGGGCTCTTTTAATGCTCACCAGAAGTGCATCTGCTGAGTGAGTAAATATTCCTTAAGGTTACTCTCAAACATGGAAGCACTTCTGCCCGTAATCTCACAACTCACTACCGTCGCAAAATGCAGGTTCAGGCGTCATTATTTTGAAGGGCACCTAAACATGGTACGGTTTTGCCGTGATTATCTCATGGCATTTGTGGCAAATTGCATTGTGTGAAGCTTGCAGGAGTTTCTTTTAGGCAACAAGCTTCAAAAGATGCGATTTGCCACAATTGTTGTGCTCTTTACTGCACAGCAATTTGCATTGCGTGAAGCTTGTTGTGCAAAAAGGAGCCGTAGCGATTTGCCACGTGACAATCACTGCAAAACCAAACCATGTTTTTGGTGCCATTGAAAATATTGGCAGCTGAACTACATTTTGCGATCGTGGGCAGAATTGCAAAGTGGGAGGTGTTTGCATTGAAGGCAGCGGGAGGTGTTTGCATTGAAGGCAGCGGGAGGTGTTTGCATTGAAGGCAGCGGGAGGTGTTTGCATTGAAGGCAGCGGGAGGTGTTTTGCATTGAAGGCAGCGGGAGGTGTTTGCATTGAAGGCAGCGGGAGGTGTTTGCATTGAAGGCAGCGGGAGGTGTTTGCATTGAAGGCAGCGGGAGGTGTTTGCATTGAAGGCAGAGCGGGAGGTGTTTGCATTGAAGGCAGCGGGGAGGTGTTTGCATTGAAGGCAGCGGGAGGTGTTTGCATTGAAGGCAGCGGGAGGTGTTTGCATTGAAGGCAGCGGGAGGTGTTTGCATTGAAGGCAGCGGGAGGTGTTTTGCATTGAAGGCAGCGGGAGGTGTTTGCATTGAAGGCAGCATTGCATTGAAGGCAGCGGGAGGTGTTTGCATTGAAGGCAGCGGGAGGTGTTTGCATTGAGGAGCGGGAGGTGTTTGCATTGAAGGCAGCGGGAGGTGTTTGCATTATTGAAGGCAGCGGGAGGTGTTTGCATTATTGAAGGCAGCCGGAGGTGTTTGCATTATTGAAGGCAGCCGGAGGTGTTTGCATTGAAGGCAGCCGGAGGTGTTTGCATTGAAGGCAGCCGGAGGTGTTTGCATTGAAGGCAGCGGGAGGTTTTGCATTGAAGGCAGCGGGAGGTGTTTGCATTGAGCAGCGGGGAGGTGTTTGCATTGAAGGCAGCGGGAGGTGTTTTTTGGAATTAAAGGCAGCGGGAGGTTTTGAAGGCAGCGGGAGGTGTGTGATTGGCATTGAAGGTAGCTGCGGGAGGTGCATTGAAGGCAAAAGTAGTACATGTACTAGTTTTGGTGTGATTTGCATAGACATCTGTGTCAGATGTCTTGCAAATCGCACATCTCACCCGACTTTGAAATCGTGCGACTTCACTGTAAGTCGCACGATTTCAAAGTCGGGCTTGATGTGACCGGGGTGTTAAGGGGCGAATACGTATGCAGCTATGACTATTCAGCTGTTGATTTGTAAATAATTTTGAGAAAAAAGTATTTTGTTCTCACTTTGATTGACCTAAAATCCCAATTTTAAATTCAGGTTGTACAACTACAACATTCTATAATGTGAAAAGGCTGAGGGGGACAGGCCAATACATTGTATATACACCACATACTACTGAGAGGGAAGGCTAGAAACCCTGTGAGCTTTTTGATGTCTGTGTGCCTGTCACAGATTTTTCCCTGCATCTGTCTTGTGAAACCTTTTGTCCAGAAATCTAATGGAGCACCAAATGGAAGTAAAAACCAACAGGGTTCCCATTCCTCTCTTTTAGCCAAAAGTAGCCTATTGAAGGCAGCGGGAGGTGTTTGCATTGAAGGCAGCCTGAAGGCAGCCGGAGGTGTTTGCATTGAAGGCAGCCGGAGGTGTTTGCATTGAAGGCAGCCGGAGGTGTTTGCATTGAAAAATGCTCTAGCTGAGTTCAGCTGGTTTTTATGGCAGTGCTGCAAGTGTGCCTGAAGAGCTGCCTAGCTTTTTGATGTCGCACCCCTTTCCATTGTCATAGTCCTTCCCATCTTTCAAAAGTGAAAAATTTTTTGGCTGTAGTATCAATTGCATTTATGTAGTCTGTCAGCACTGCAATATGGCAGTGCTGCATTGACCTGTATTGTCATAGTCCTTCTCTTTCATGATTTTAGGTTTCACACTGCAATATGTATGCTTGACTTTTAAACAAAAAAAGGAATAATATTGCTTGCATCTTTTTTTGTTTTTTTTTCTCTATATGGATTTTTGAAAGGCTTTAATTTGATTTTTCCTCAGTATCAGATCAACAATAAACTGAACTATCCATGTTGTCTTTCAGATGTTAAAATCTCAGGACCCTACATTGTGTACAGAGACGTCTGCTGATATTTCTTTCTCTGAGTCCTCATCACCATCCTTCCTGGCAGCAAAGAAAAGCATTGGACGTTTTCATCCATACACCCGATACGAGAACATCACTTTCAATTGTTGCAATCACTGCCATGGGGAATTGGTGGCTCTATAGGAAGACTTGAGATGAACTCCCTGTCTAAAAGCAGTGTTTGCAGTGATGTGCACATCTCAAGAGCAATAATTTATGCACTAAGACATCTCGACTTGAAATAACAGAGCATTTGTGTTCCTCTGTTTTAACTCATACCTGACCTCGTGCAATAAAACTTTTATAGGGAGCCAAAAATATGGGTGTAAAAGAGCACGGTGGAGAGAGATTTTCTGGGCACCCAAAAAGTGTGCTGTAAACATGGTTTGTGAAATGCTTTTATCACAAGTAGGTCATTCCTTAAGGATTTTTTCTAAGAATTCTGTGGTGCAATACTGTCTGAATCCTTGACAGCTGTATTCTTCTTCTTCTTCTTTTTTTTTTTTTTTTTTTTCATTTGACCTTCAGTGTTTTCAATGGTTATTGAATGTATCAACCATTATTAATGAATTTTAATAAATATGTAGCATTTCATTTTGGCTTGGGTTGTTCTTGGGCAAGAAGCACATGTTAAAGGTCTGCCAAAAAGTAATCAACAGAAAAATACTTTCAAGTGACTTCACAGTACAGAAGATGTCCTGGTCCAGAGATAATTTCCAAGTCATCGGTGCTATGTAGCCTCCAAATTTTGCCCAAACTGAAAAGACTGTTTATATCATGTCTGTTGAGCTGTGGTTTTCTGCAAAGCACCACACTTGTATGATGTAAACAGGGTACATAAAAATTGTTTTCTATATGCTCTCTGCACACCATACATGTGTAGTAAGTGTGCAGAAAAATGTAGCTCAATGGACATGGTGTAAGCAAAAATGTCAGATAAAAATTACTTGTTCTGACTGGTGCTGTCACTTTATCTTTACTTAGTGACACACAACTATGATATAAAGATAGGGTAGATCAACACCAGAAATATTACTTATAAAAATGTAGGGTACCAGTGTTCCATTATTACTATAAATGTTGAGAAATATACAGTTGTGAAACATGATGAATGGTAGTTTGCTACTTTTTGTGTAAAGTACAAAAACATTTACATTATATGCTCAATGCCCAGAAAAAATAGGAACCCGTGTTTAGTAAAGCATTAGACCCCCTTGGTCATAATACTGAATGACTAGACCCCAGAGGAGTAATTCCAGTGGGTCCAGTAGTATTCTATCATGAAAGAGACCCTGTTGTTACAAAATAAGGAGATTCCTATTGCTAAACTATTCTTTAAAGGTCTAAATCCAGGTTTACTTTCACATTAGTTTGTTTGGACCAAGCGGTTTCAAATAAACTAGTTCCCTGACTGGCTGCTGCGGCAGGTGTCAGCACTGTATAAAACCGTATGTAACAACAACTACATACAGTATACAGCTCTGTGTTCCAGCAGACATTTGGAGACTTCCCCTGTGCTGCTGGAAAATTGAGTTGGGCTGAGCAGTGCCAAACCATTCAGAAAAAGCCTTTTATTTAATCAGTGAATACAAGGCTTTCTCTGATATGCTGGGGTAGAGATCATTATCTGCCCACCCCTCCCTAGATTTTGTTCCACCAGCAGACAGGAAGTCCTTATACCACTGCCAGAACATAGCGCTGTATATACTATATAGCTGTTGTTACAGTTCATACAGCATTGACATCAGCCACAGCAATTTGGTAAAGCAAATAGTTTGTTTGGGCCAGCTGGACCCAAACCAGGTCCAGTTATTTTAAAGTTGAAGTAAACATGACGTTAGACTTTGTTCGTTCCCTGACTGTCATGCTGATACTTTGGCTTCAGTACGCTGAATTGCTGAACTGAAAGCAGACATAAGGAATTTTGCCACATTTACAGCATGCTTGTTCATTGACTGTGACTTTAGTGTAACCTCACTTTTATTGAGAAAATGAAAGCAGCTTAATGCAGGCCATAGATGGGTCGAAAATCGGCCGATTTTTCGGCCGAAAATAAAATCGGCCGATTTTCGGATCGTTAGTGGGCTATTTGTTCGGCCGTTTTTTGGTATTTTGGCCGTTTTTTTTTTAATCGGGAAAGTTGGAAAAACATCGGCCGATTTTCGCGGCAATAATGGGCTAATCGGCCGATTTTTTACCGATAAAAAATCTGCGCATGAGCAGTGACCTGCAAGAGGAAGACAAAAAGAAGAGAGAAGAGGATAAAGATGATGATGAAGAAGAATAAGAGGACGATGATGATGAAGAAAAAGAAGAAGAGGACGATGATGATGAAGAAAAAGAAGAAGATGATGATGATGATGAAGAAGAAGAAGAGATGATGATGAAGAAGTAGAAGAGGATGATGATGAAGAAGTAAAGAGGATGATGATGATGATGATGAAGAGAAGGATGATGAAGAAGAAGAGGAGGATGATGATGGTGAAGAAGTAGAAGAAGAGGATGATGATGAAGAAGAGAGATGATGATGATAGATAAGAAGAGGAAGTAGAAGAGAAGATGATGTAGAAGAAGAAGAGGATGATGAGAAGAAGAGGATGATGAGAAGAAGAAGAGATGATGAGAAGAAGAAGAAGAGAGATGATGAAGAGAGAAGAGGAGGAGGAGGATGATGAAGTAGAAGTAGAGAGGAGGAGAGATGATGAAGTAGAAGAAGAGGATGGAGGAGGATGATGAAGTAGAAGATGGAGGAGGATGATGAAGTAGAAGATGGAGGAGGATGATGAAGTAGAAGATGGAGGAGGATGATGAAGAAGAAGATGAAGAAGAGGAGGAGGATGATGAAAAAGAAGAGGAGGAGGATGATGAAGAGGAGGAGGATGATGAAGAGGAGGAGATGATGATGAAGAGGAGGAGGATGATGAAGAAGGAGGATGATGAAGAGGAGGAGGATGATGAAGAAGAGGAGGAGGATGATGAAGAAGAGGAGGATGATGATGAAAAAGAGGAGGATGATGAAGAAGAGGAGGATGATGATGAAGAGGAGGATGATGAAGTAGAAGAGATGATGATGACGAAAGAGAGGATGATGAAGTAGAAGAGGATGATGAATAAAAGAGGATGATGATCCAGTCCGGAAAAAGTGATGATGCATGAGAGAGGAGCTATTTCTTGACATGAAGTAGAAGAGGATGATGATGATGATGATGACAGTAGTTGAAAGAAGATTGATATGATGATTTGAGGAAGAGGATGATGATGAAGAAGGATGAAAAATAAAAGGAATTCCAGTCCGGCAAAAAGTGTCTCTGCAGAGAGCTCCGCTATTTCTTTGACATTCTCTGACAGTATCCTTTACAGAGGTTGCAACATTGTATCTATTTGTTTCCGAACCTCTGTATCCTAAATGGAAAAATAGTACATTGGAACCTCTGTAAATGTCAAGGAACATTTTTTTTTTACCATTGGTGGTAACATCGGTCGCTTGAACGACCGATTTTTTTTTTTTTTTTAAAAGAAAAATCTGCCGTTTTTCTCCCCGTCTATGGCCTGCATAAGCAGCAGGTTGTACAAAAAAAACTGACCCGATTTCCCCATCTACACATTCGAGGTGGATGGAGGAGTCACTCCCACTGAACTGTTCTGTTGGTGAGGAGACTCCCCGACCATCAGATTACACTAATCAAGACTACCACCTAAAGCCGGCGGTGCAAATCATGTGGAAATTTTCCATTAGGCCGGTTGAGCAGAAGTCGGTCAGTATATTGACTTCTGTACAGCCAATCTGCCCATGCATGGATCAAAATTTCTCATTAAACATACAGGTCACATTAGCATGTAATATTTTTTTAAGGAATACATTGACACATAAGGCCCTTAATTTTCTGATAAATTTATGGAATGCATAATCTACCTCATCTTTCCTTCTTAGGATTTTGGTTTTCTACAATTATCTGTATGAATCATAAAAAAAAAAAAAAAAAAAAAACATAAAAAAGACCTAAAACAAAAATATACTCTGTGCCTAGCCTACTATTTTTTAAAGTCTAACTATTTTTTTTAGTTGTATGGTTTTTTACTACTTTTATGACCTTTCCCTGACACATATTGGGTTATTGGCAGCAAGTGTATAATCTATTAATACAGTTCCCTACCCATTCCCTGGTTTACAAGTGTCGTTTTGTGTTTTTTGCACTAGAATATACACATATTTTTTCTTTATTTTAGTATCAAGATTTGTAATTACTTTGCAACTGAATTAATGTGTGTTGCATTGAGACTAAAAGTCCAGACACGATAAAAAAAAAAAATTTAGTAAATTTGGGTGCATTTGATATTAAAAAAAAAATAACACTCATACTTTGTGTTTATGCATTAACGCATGTTATTGACTATGCAGGGATTGACCGTTTTTTAGCAGAATTACATATGTAGATGGAAAACTGTTTTTTTTTTTTTGTTTTTTTTCCCCCACAAAGTTTTAAGTCAACTTTTTTGTTCATTCTATGTTTTAAGCATAGGCCATTACAAGCTCCTAAAGATAATCACTTCTAAACTCATTCAAGTTTCTGCCTGCATAGTAACGTAATGTCTTATTTAGAACACCTAATAGAGGTAAAACCTAAGCCAGCATGTAAGAACATTTCTCTTGTAAAGGGCTTGTCACATCCCATAACAAGGGCGCTACTTTTTTGCCATGTTCAGTAATGAAATCCTATTTTCTGCTGATGTAATAAATGTATTTGAAATACAGAAGGAGGTGTCCTGTATCTACGAGGCTTGAGAAAATGGTGATCCCCAAAACATTTGGCCTTGAGGTAGCTGGAGTTGCTGTATAACACTCTCCTAGTCAATCAGGACTCTGCTCTATGCTACTCCAAGACACAGCACCCTTCTGGTTATTTCTGGGACTCCTGGGCCATTACAGAGAAAGCCTTGACAGCTAGCCATGGTATGCAGGCTCCTTATGTAGAGGGGAGTACTATAAGGGCATTGAGTGTTTCTGAGCATATATATATATATATACATATATATATATATATATATTGTGTGTGTATGTGTATATATGTGTGTGTGTATGTGTATATATGTGTGTGTGTGTGTATGTGTATATATATGTGTGTGTGTGTGTGTATGTGTATATA